TATATATATATATATATATATATATATATATATATATATATATATATACCTCAGTATAGCGTGGCAACCCGTCGCCACACCGTACACTCTACTACACAGAAAATATATATATGTATACCTTAGTATAGCTTGGCAACCCGTCGCCACGGCAAGCGTCGCCACGCCAACAATTCGGTTTACTAGTGAGCCTATAGATGTTTCACATCAAAAATCACGTGCAATTAATGGGTGCCATTAACACTGAAAGCTGTTAATGTTCGAATCACTTATCATGCTTGATAAGCTCGACGTGTCGACTTCTTCAATATACTGCTCAAGAGCGAAGATTAGGTGGGAAAATAAAAAATATATTATTATACACTTTGATAATTATGCTATCTACAATTGAATCATCATTTGCGACCCAGTCCGGAAAAAATAAACTTTTTCACATCAAGTTGACGACAAGTTTCTCAAGAAATTTGGCGATATATTGCGGCAATAGATTGTTGCTAAATTTCCTAACTTGCCTAACTTGCCCTAACTTGTCAGCAAATTGTCACCTACAGTTATGAATTCAGAATTTAACGGCAAGTTGTCGCTCAGTTGGTGGCAACTATCTGATACCAACTTTGTTGCTCTGTTAGCACAAATGAAACGAAGTTTGCATAAATCTACGGCCGAAATTTGACGTAAAGTTTACGCTAACAGTAGAGCAACAGTTGTACTTATAACTGTTGACGTGAAGTTAACCTTAACTTTCTGCAGTAGATTTACACTTGATGCGCAAGTTAAAGTCAAGTTCTGGGAAACTGTTGCAAATGCAGAAGTTGACGCGAAATGACGTAAAGTTGACGTAAACCATTGAACATCAACTTAGTTGATGGTCAATCCGTGCTAACTGGGTGGTCTGAAACTCTGGCTATCAGGATTTATCTCTAAATACAGCTATTATATTTAATTACCTTGTTGACGAACTGCCGGTAATAAAGTCTTTGGTTTTTTGTAATTCACGCATCCGTTCAAAAGAGGGCGTTCAGTTCGTATGAAAAAATTTAGTCTGTTGAAAACTTCTATTAAGCATTGAAATTTAATTGTAAATATAATTATTTATCTTAAACTTATTTAAAGTCATTAAATCAATGACCATGAATAGCATAATGTAGCTATTGATAGTGGCAGGAAGGGGGGAGGGGATAATTAAATGTTTGTTGTCGAAATAACAAAATAATTTTATTGTACTCTTATAGACGGTCACCTGTGAATGTGAATTATCAGGATTAGAATTTACATATTTTTTATTATTATCATTACAATATTCACAACTAATATCAATTCTGCAAATCAGTACTATTCGCCGGTCGAATAGAGAACTCATACTCGACTGACTTCGAATATTCATACCCTATAAGCCTTTTCGATGTATCTACTTCCCAGAGCTCATAATCATCAGCAATCTTCGTACTGTTCGAATGATAAGTGAACACAGAGGTAGGATCTTCAAGGCTCTTCAGGTAGAATAATCTAAACGAAATTATAGTTCCACAAGCGTAAATTACTTCTCGTCCGTTGTTTGCAAAGAAGTCATTGGGAACCCTGATCCTGATGCTATTCTTCAAACTATCATTACTGAATTTTCCAACGGGCTTCATGGTCCAGGGCTGTGGTGGTTCGAAGTCTGTGTTAACATCTTCGGGTAATGTCTTGTCTTTTATTTCCAGGCTCCAAAGTCTAGGCACTGAACTTTCTGGATCTTCCGGAATACTTGCTGGAGAAAATAGGGACACGTCAGCAAACACGTACTCCAGGACAGCTATCTAAGGATAGAAATGATTCTTGTAAATTCTAATTAATTTTTTAGAAACTAAAGGATACTTACCATTAGAAGACTTGCTTTCATCGTGTCTAGTTAATTGATGCTCTTTACACTGTCAATGCTCCGGAACAGATAGCTTAAATACCGAACAGAGGTGGAAGAACTCAAATCGCTTGTCCAATGATCACGCAGTGAATCACGTCAGGGTCGAGTGATACTCTAAATTTAAAGTTAGTAAACAACTTACGTTAAATATTGATGTGGGTTTATCCAATTGATTTTATAAATATCAAAAGTTGTTTTTGTGATGAATATGACTTTCATAAGCGACGTTGATGAAGAGTGTAACTTGTTATTACTGAAGAACTGCGTAGAATGTCAAGCAGAATGAAATCAAACTGTTGATGATACTGCAGAATGATAAAAAGTGCTTTGTTGGATTTTAAACTACCAAGTAAATGACATTTTCTGCCCTCCGGCCGGAAAGTGGCAACTTTCTGGCCGCTGCGCTAAACAAAGTTGCCACATTCCGGCTACGTCGAGCAGAAAAATAGTATACACACCTTGGCCAGTAAAAAGTAAAGCCTCAGATCACATGTTTGTCAACCTCGGCTTCGCCTCGGCCAACAATTACATGTGATCTGAGACTTTTCTTATTTTACTGGCCTAGGTATGTAATATACTATAAATGTTCTTTGTCTGCCGCCAACTCACATTAGCCTCGGGGAATGTTGTAAAACACATTAATAAAATACAATATGATAAGCTACGAACACAAAGCTGTAATTGAAATGCTGAAAGATTCTACAACCTTCTTTAAATAGTTTCTGTTCATTTGCTTGCATCACTCTCTGAATACATATAAGAAATCACTTCGATCCACGTGATTAGTTATCACTATCATGATGATGAAGACTTGGTGTCTGGTAATAGCAACCAACCACAAATTCTATCAACAACAAACCTGATTACCTGATTGAGTCGAAATTAACTATGTCGATGATGAAGTTCATCAAGATGTTCAGATAATTGGTCTAATGACACCAAATTCACCATCCGTAGGTTCAAAGAGGATATCCATGGTGATACCGTTCTTGATTCATGATAGCTCGACATCTTGATGACTAGATCGGAATCTTAAATTCAAAGTTCTAAACAACTATCATCAGAATACAGCTTCAATTCCCAAGTGTGAAAGTCGCTCATGTCTTCTTGAAGATATCCAAGATTTGGACCCAGTTCCTCGCTATTTTTGGTTAGTTAGAACATCCATTTTCTAGGAAAGGTTTTTTCTGGATTAAAGGGTTGAGAGTAGCTCGTAACAGCTATATCTAATGGAGGTGCTAGAATAACAATAGAATAACAGAGAATTCCAACGAAATGATAAAATGCTTCGGGGGTCATACTAATGACTGTTCTCTCCACAATCATCGGTGACCAGCTTTGTAAAATCGTTTCAAATCAAAAAACTCGAGATAAAAAAATACTGTCACAATTACAAGACATAGAGACATCGATATTTATTCCAAAGTAATGCAATTAAATATAGCGGTAGCCGAATTGATGATTTACGATCACCATTGTCATCGGAACGACCGGAAATTCCAGATTCTTCACAACTAGCACTTCCTCGGGTCTTCTATTGTTCTATCTTCTCTAACTGTTATAAAAAATCTATGTACTTTTAATAGCATTTATTCCAGTTAGTGATCATCATGGAGACACTTACAATTTCGATTTTGGTAAGTGTAAATTTTTAATGCTACTTATCGAGATCAGTTGTATAATTTACATTGTTGTAGATCATAACAATCCTGGCGGCTCCATGCCAGTCATTTTGGTGGTACTACGACTACTCGGATTCTGACTACTCATCTGGGTAGCCATCTTACGATTACGGACAACTTGAACCTAGACATACTTATTCTGAGACCCATGAAGAGAAAAATTCTAGACCCTGGAATTATAAAACTGATGTTGTCACCCGCTCAGAAAAGGAATCAATACCATTTTACGAGCCTCCTCGAATTGCTATCAGAATAGATCCATATAACCTCTTCAATTCACGCGTCGATGTAGCGGTACCCATTGAAAAGAAAATCGAACGCAAAGAGGAGTTTATTGATCGACATGCCATAAATTATGAGGATAGAGTGGAGGTACATGATGAAAGACATGAAAAAACGTCAGAAACAAAGAGAAACGATTTAAACTTCAGAGTTATTTAATACGATAGAATATTTTTACTTTTTATGAGCGTTTATATGTTGATGTTAAAAAAATAGAAAGATTTATATGAATTTATTTGAAGTAAACTTTTTTTACAATCAAAATACTTTTGTTGTCTCGTATTAATTTTTAAATCCATATTCTACCCAATTAGTTTAAGACAGCCTCAGATAGTAATTAAAATTTCTAAGATTACCAAATGGAAGTTTACTAAGTCAAAACTACGGGGTGGAAGATTGTTACATCAAATAAATCCATGTAGGAAATCAACCTAAATTCCTAATGGTTATATTGAGGACTCAAACCACGAACTTTGCGTTTGTCATTCACACCACTCAGTTGTCCCAGATCATTATTAATGTTATATGCTTGAATGACATTCAAGTATGCCATACCAAAAAAATCTGTGCAAGTTTGTTTGGTGATCTATGGAATCTACATGAGAAAGTATTGATTCATATGAAAGATACGGATCCAATACATCACAGATTTCACATGATATCATAGATGTACCCATACTTTACCATGTGAATTTCCGGATGGGAACCAATGTACCAAAAATTTCCTAGATAGAATCATATGAATCCATAATTTATCATAGATTCCCTTCCAAACCTACATGGTTGGATCCTTTGATAGGGTAACGTTTGAACTTCATATATTTCTTGCGAAACCTGCCATTATTGTCCTAAAAAATCCCTCTTACATCTAAAGAAAGTTGGCGAAAGGATTTTGAATTTGATTGAAGTTATTAGAATTTCATTGAATCCCACAATATATTAGATTTAAATATAGATTTCAGATTAATTATCATTGTGTTTAAACAACAGAAAACAGAAATAGATTACATTCATTACAATTTTAGTTTATTCCAATATTAGTGAATTGTCCTTGAAATCCAGCTTAGTAGCCGTACTGCTCATAACTGCGGTGGTGACCGACGACAACATTCGTGTTGTAAGAAGTCCCAGGTGGGCCTCCTAGCTCAATGCCATCGTAGTTTTTGTTGTACGTAGCTCTCATGTTGTAGTTTTGGTAATCGTTCAGAGGAGCTGTAAAGTTGAATGCCGGAATTGTTGGAAGGGGGAATGATTGTTCCACATACCCTATCATAATATTCCCATAATATTATAGGAATGGTTTCTATAATATTATGGAAACTATTCCTATATATTATAGGAACCATTCCTATATTACAGTTATAATTATAGGTATCGTTCCTATAGGAACCATTCCCATAATTATAGTAACGTTTCCCAAAAATTATGGGTATAATTCCTATAATTTAAGTAATCGCTCCTAAAATGGTATAGGAAAATATTTCATTAAAATTATAGGAATAATTTCCACATTTTTCTCTCCGTGTAGGGATGATTGTTGAAAGTTGGAACTTGTTGGGTTGGATAATGGTTGAAAAATGGAATTTGCTGGGTTGGGTAATGGTTAAAAAGTCCAGTTCTGCGGTTTAGAACTGGAATATTTCTAGCAAACGGAAAATGTGGTGGAAATTGTGGAATTTGAAAGGCTGGATGTCTTGGAATGTATACAGGAGGAATTTGGGGAATGAAGGTGTCAGGAATTTGCGGGATTGCAGGAATACGAGAAAATGTTAGTGGAATCGGTGGGAATGCGCTAATGACTGATGGTATTGGTTGAAACGGACCCTGTTTATTGTGATCAAGCAGATCCACGTTGTACTTAGCATAAGGCGGAATCTCTGAGTCAGGTTTGCGGTCTTTGTTATCTACTGTGACAGGTGGTTTAGTATCCCGATTGTCCAAGCTTGTGGGTTTAGGTTCCGTAGGTCGAGTTTTGGGTTTATTTTCATCATTGTTCTTAGGTTTTTTAGAGTCAGACTTAAAAATATCAACAAGCTGTATGTTGAACTTGTCGGAAAGGGGTTTGATATATTTGACTTCATTTTCGTTGGTTAATACAGCTACTCGATGAGATCGATGCTCTTTGTTATTATTAGAAGTATCTGGAGATTGAGTTGTCACGTCGTCGTTCTTCGGAATCGTTGGAGATTCAATTACGTTATTTTTTGAAAGTACTGGAGATTTGGATTTGTTTTTGTCATCATCTGGAGTAGTTGAAAGAATTGGTTTGGTTTCATTATCAGTTGTAGTAACTGAAGGTTGAGGTTCTTTTGTATCATCAACTGGAGTGACTTTAAATGATGTAGCTTTGTCATCATCAACTGGAACAATTGAAGGAGTTATTTTCTTTTTATCATCAACAGAAGTAACTGGAAGCTTAGATTCACTTTCATCATCAACTGGAGTAACTTTAGATAACATTTCTTTATTATCGTCAACTAGAACAATTGAAGGGGTTGGTTTCTTCTTATTATCAACAGAAGTAACTGAAGATTTGAAATTGCTTGCATCATCAGTTGAAGTAACTGAAGGTTGAGGTTTTTTTCGATCATCAACTGGAACAATTGAAGGAGTTATTGTCTTTTTATCATCAACAGAAGTAACTGGAAGCTTAGGTTCAATTTTATTATCAACTGGAGTAACTTTAGGTGACGTTTCAATTTCATCATCAACCGGAGCAACAAAAGGCGTTGGAGAGGAAAGAGGAAGGGGAACAGGAAGATGCGGAACTGTAGATGTAGGTTGATTTTCATCATTAACCAGAATAATTGAAGGATTGAGCTTATTTTCATCAACTAAGTCATTGATATCCTTGAGAATATTGTCAGACTTCAGCATGGTAGATGATTCAGTAGCTTTATCAACATCTTTTTCACTACTTTTAGTTGTAGATTGACCTTTGAATTCATCGTCAATGTCAAAAATCGATCGGAGAGTATTGATTTCATATTCAATCTCTTTTTTATTATCATCATCATCATCTTCTAGTATCAAAGGACGGTGAGTCACAGGTTCCTTTAGAGCGTCGAATAATTTAAAGTCAAATTGAGAAAAATCCAAAGGCTTGATTATAGAAGACTCGCATTGTGAAATTAGCAAGATTGCTAGCAGCTACGGAAATAATTAACAATGATAAAAGAATATCAGTCACATTTCACTTATGTTTAAATAGATTCCGTTATTATTTGAATAAATAAAATATTTGATAGATTAAGAGTTTTTATCCCTAGTGTAAGGGGTAAATTGAAACTAAGATTTTTAGAAAGAAGAAATAATATCAGAATGAAATATGCTAACACTTACCGATATAATTGATTTAAACTTCATCTTTGTCTACGTGGAACTGATAAAAATAAAATAATGCTCGGTCTTATAAGAGAATTATCGACAAAAACAAAGCTATTAATTGTTTTTGTGACACGTTGACTATAAATTCTTTAATGCGTCGTAAGTTATAAGGCTTATTGGAATAAAACTGTGATAGATTGTGTTTTAATTACCAGAATTCCCAATTACAGTTCTTTGTTCTAGATAGAAGATATCGAAACACTTGTGTCATTATTTGCTATCACCTTCCAGTTTTTTCTAAACTTATAATTGAAACAATTAATTGTATACTTATACTTGGGAAAAAAATTTAATGTTTTATAAAAAGCCACAAATTAAATTTTTTTTTTTAATTTATTAGATGCTATTCTTGGGCTTTTTATAGCTCATATATTTGAACGGAAAGCGTATTAAATTGTAAACAAAATTTTTGAGAATTTCTTGTATTTTATTATTGAGATAATTTTTAAATTAAAGTATCTATTCATTTCAAAATTAATTCTTCCCAAAAAATTATATCGACTGCTACTCATATTGTTGACAAAAAATTAAAAAAAAATTTTTTTTCAATAACTTGACATTTTTTGAAGGTCATATCTGATATTTTTGTGATCAAAAAACCAAATTAAATGTTATATACTGGATTTAGATCGAGTGACTAAAAAATGTTTTTGCACGCCTCATAAGCGAAGCGAATAAGGTAGTGGTTTACTCTCGCCTTAAATTAAATAGTAACGGTGGACTGTATTTCTCATTTAGTAATTTTTACGATCTACTATTGTAAATTTTATCCAACAAGCAAAGCTAGCAAGAAACTTAAAAAGTCGAATAATATAGAGCAAATTATACAAACAAATTGTAAAATTTCATGAATAAATAGTAAATTTTCTTCTAAAATATTTGAAAATTAATAGTAATAAAAGTATAGCCCAGCTTTACAATATTTGTATCGTAAATTTTCCCAGAAATTCTTTTTCGTGTAAAAGTCACAATTTATAATTTAATATCGAAAATGTGATGAGTAGCTATCACTATAGTAAATAACAACTGTCTCATCTTAAAAAATTACAGTTTCAAACAGTAAAAATTGCCCTTTCAATATATAGTCTATACTATGAGGAGAAGGGCTAGCTCTCACACTCGGAAAATTTAACATTTGAAACCGTAAAAATTCTACTCTTAAAATATATTTTAAATCAATAATTATAGTTTGATTTTTAGCGTTGCGTTTAAAATTTACCATTTTACTTTGTAAATATTGACGTTGCTTGTATAGAAAATTACGATTTTACTGTTTAAAATTACAGTTTACTTTTTTCCGTGTGGAAACTGGCGTAATCACGATATCTGTCGAAAAACTTAACTTTTTTTTTTTATACGCTTCAGTATTATCCAAAACTAAGTCCTCTTGAAGATCACGGTCTAATTCAATGTAGTTTACTTATAATTAGCAATAAACTAAAATCTACTTATCGTTTGTACATCTATATCTATGTAAATAAGGTTCGTTCACTACACATGCGCAGTACCTTTCTTTTCTGGGTGGACAGTGGCGCGAAAGATTTAAAAGTATTTATATTTTATTTTAATTAATTTTATTCTGAAAAATGAGATTATGAGGCGTGCAATTTTGGATTTTCACTTTTTTTGTATATCCTTAAAATTTCTTGTCAAATTTAAATACTAGAAAGGTTGTAAGAAAAAATCCATTCTTATATAATGATATAAAGCCATAAAAACCAAAAATTTATTCTGTATAATTTGATAACAACTCGACATAACTTACATCACAAAATCTTCAACAAAGTTAAGATTGGTTGACATTTAAACCAACAGAGCTTAAGGAATTGCGGCTTTTGAAAACTTCATCTCGTAGATTAGAAATAGTACTGCGAAGCTTGGATAACAGTGCATCATGACTTTCAGCGTCTGGAGGTTTCTGAGTTGTAGGAACACTTGCTGCATCTGGAGTTGGAGTCTCAAAAAATCCCGAATCTGTAGTTGATTTTGAGTTATAGACAACTACGCCATATTTATTTCTAACTATCCACGCTTGGCTTGCAGTCACCAATATAACCACGCACTGAAAAAACGATCGGTCATCATCGCACTTATTCAATTAATAACAAAGATTAAAAGTTACTTACAAATAAATACACTGCTGACTTCATATTACCGCGTTCAAGTTAGCACTGAGTCAGTGTAAAGTTGAAGAAGATTTGATAGCTTAATGAGCATTGACATTTATTATGAATTTATGTTCATTTAAAGATTATTGGTTCGAAAGTAGAAAATTAATGGTCTTGTCATGATTTTCAATCCCACAAAAAACAGTTTCACTGTAAACCGTCGCGCCAAGTACACGTCCAACTATTGTTACAAACCTTGATAATTCAATTTTTACAAAAAATTATTAAATCGAAAAAAAAAAATCCAAGTACAAAAAATTTTGTAGATTAAAAAAACGCTAAAGACAGTAAATATTAAGGAAAAAAATTGAATGTACTTGGTGTGCATTATAATTGAATGATGGTGTGCATTATAATCGAATGATGCACACTAAGGACATTTAATTTTTTTCCTTAACAATATTTACTGTCTTTAGCGTTTCTTTAATCTACAAAATTTTTTGTACTTGGATTTTTTTTTCGATTTAATAATCTTTTGTAAAAATTGAATTATCAAGGTTTGTAACAATAGTTAGACGTGTACTTGGCGCGACGGTTTACAATGAAACTGTTTTTTGTGGGATATCTCATTTTTTTGTAAAGAATATATTAAGGGATATATAATCAAATATTTTATCAGCATTTTTAAATTCCAAATATGTACTTTTTAAGTTATACAGCTAATTCATTATTCATGAATTTTTGTAATAATTAATTACAAACGAAGTTATTACAATATTTTTACTTTAAATGATGCGCGTGACTGACCAATGTGCCTCTAAAATACAGTGGTAATGGTTTTGTGGCTCCACCTACTGTCGCATATTGAAATTCTAAACTAAAGACCAACTACTTATGGGCGCTAAGTTCAGTATTTAGAGTATATACTAGCTATTTAGATGGTAGAATAACAAAGTTAAGTAGTGCCAACTTCGAAATAATAAAATTCACCCTAAATTTGTAAAATCTCTCGTAGTAGAATCGAAAACAGGCGCAAGTAAAAATTTTCAAACTCGCGATTAGTTAAATAATTGTTAAGACCCAACATTTTTTTGTAATATATGTATAATTGGTAAAAAGAAACTTATTAACAATGGTGTAAAGTGTTAGTGTCTTAGTAATAATAAAAAATACAGAGCTAAATATGTAAAGAGGTTATGTTGACATATGATTAGAGAATAAAGACACGTTGTCTCACGCCATATGTTGGACGTGTACTTGGCGCGAAATACTATCGTGTCTTCGGATACTTGATAATCTCATTAAATCAATCTAATACCCACTCCACAGTGGGTATAAATATAAGGTATATTTATATACACGATATGGTAACTCTTATGTCGATTTACGCAAATCGACTATACCGAAAGCGTAAAAACGTATTTCTAAAGGTTATCATAAAAACTAATGTGTACTTATGTACACGCGTCAGAAGATATACTTCTTTGGCAAAAGAAAAAAAATTTTAAAGAAAAAAAAAATGCAAAAATGATCGAAGAAAAATGTTGAAAAAATTCAAATAGGTTTTATTATAGTAAAAATTTAGCTATACCGTATAAATATAAAATCATTAATTATCATATGAATTTAATTCAATATTATTTAAAATTTTTCTAAATCAACTAATTTTGAAGCTTCAAAGTATCAATAGTTTACAATCGATCGATCTGAACCTAAATCACAACATACATAAACAAGACATGCGTTCAAATTATCCCAATTGACGGTTTGAGTCGATGTTTCAAATATTAAAGTTTAATCAAATAATAAAGTTTTCAAATTTTGTGATATTTTATGGCTGAAATAATATTTGCAAGTCTATGAAATTGGATCTTTGATGCGTTACTTGAAAAATCCTTTTAGTTCTCAGGGAAATATTGGTTTTAAATAAAATTTGAATCGTTAATTTGTTTGACGTTTTTTATTGCATCAGATGATAATGGTAAAGTATTTATGATTGGGAACATTTTCTAGCATTCGAATATTATTTTATAAAATATCCAAAAGTCGAAATATTTGACAGGTTTCATTATTGACGTGTTCTAAAATAAAGAACTCGAAATTTCGACAGTATAAATTTTGTACTAATCTATAAAACCTATTTACTCAAAATTATAGTATTAAGTGACAAAATTTTTTAATTATGTAAAAATCCATTACTTCCAGAAGAATAATAGGCGATTATTGATGTCAAATGCAGGTAATTCAAAAAGCTGTTTGATATATTTAACTAGTGAAATAAAATGTTATTGTATTTACATAGTAATCATTGAAAATAATCAAAACGTTATTCAAGTCCTCTCTTCTGACCAATTATTATTACGAATCAAGTTTTTGAAAGTTTGAAATGATTCTAACTACTGACTATAATGGTTAAATAATTATAAGAAATATTTCAACATTATAATATTTTTTAACTATAAAACAAATATGAATTTCATAAGTGAAATTAAATTTGATCTCGAAAGAAAACACTGATGATTGTGCTATACCATTAATCAAATTATACATTCATCAAATGTATCAGAAAAATAGTAACTAAGACACAATAAAAATCGACTTATTAAATTGTATTTTCATCTATTTTATTTATTTCTCTAATTTTTATAAATTAACTTTATATTTTATTAGATACTTTTCTTGATATTCTTTGATATTACTTTAGCGTTATTAGAATCGATCTATCTATTCATCTACCCATTGTAATTTTAGTTGGTACTTAATTACTTAATCTACCGCTCTGCTAGTGAAAACTTTGGACTAGCTTTCGCCATCTAGCAGCTGATAGGTAACTAATAAATTGTATCCGTGGAAGTTATTAATACAAATATCTTTATCTCATGAAACACTTAAATTGTGATATTCTCTTCAGTTTAACATGCCAAACAGAAAATTGATTAAATTACTAGTACATAATTCCTAATAGTAAAAAATAATGGTCATTTTTAATACTCGATTAATTTTGGAGTATAATTTACACGACCAATATAAGAAGTAGTAGCACTTTTATAAATGGTTTATTTGAATCTGTTAAGCAAAATAGAAAGTGGAAACTAATTTATGTGTATTAATAAGGAATTGACGAAAACATTTCATGAATACGAATGTTATTAAAAATATTACCTGAAAAAAATTCTGTCTGTTATGAGATAGTGTTAAGAGGTCAAGATTTTCAACTCCACTTTAATTATTATTTATTATTATATTTGATATCTAAGATTGTTTAGAAGTGTTTTATATTTATTAGAAGATTGAATAAACTTAGATTCAGTTTAAATTAAAACCTTGTGTTTCACTTTTATTTATAAACCCGACAGATAGTTTATGAAACAGAAAACCAAAAATTATTTCTGATAGCATATAGTCAGTGATTTTACAAAAAAATTCAAGCATCTGAGGAAAGTAATCATATTAAATCATTTCTGAATTGGGGAAAAATTAATCATTATTTTTGCTACGGAGTATCCGAGGATTACTATAAATCACAAATATCAACTCATTGATTTCTAACATTAATCATGATGTGATGATTGTTATAATTTATACAAGCGATCAATTGGTAGTGGAATACAATTCAAATTTAAAGTTATGGATAACTTTACAAAAATTTTAATTAGTAAGATGTCTTAGAAGTTTTTCTTTTAATAATGCTCTTTGGAATTTATTTCTGTCCAGCATGCGAAGTTACAAACCCGTCAAAGAATTTAATATGTACTAAAACAATAGATAATTATTACTTTACTTATTTTAGAATTAATGCATTCGGCAAGGAGTGGTGCGTAGAATTTCATTGAGATGCATTTCAAACAATAATTAATAATAAATGTTTTCAGTATTCTTGATAATTCAACCATTGGATTCCGGATGCCTCAATTTTATAGCTGAAAACAATTGATAATCTATCATATGAATGGTTTTATACCTACATTTAATAAGCACCACAATTTTTATTGCTAAGATTATGCAACAAATTAAATTTTAACTACTAAAATTTTATTTTCCATATTACTATAGAAATAACTTTAATGTCCGTTGAAATTTCTAAATCACAAATTTTCAATTAAAACTCAAAATTATTTCAAATTACAAAATTAAGTTTGAATTGAAAACATTATCTATTTTTATCAAGGATTGTATGTAAGTAATAATATTATTACACGTGCGAAAAAGTACAAGTTCATGCAATTTTAATTGGTACTTAATTACTCGAGCTACCGTTCTGCAAGTGGAAATTTAAGACTACCTTTCGCCACCTAGCGGCTAACCTGGAACTATCTGGTCTAAAATAGCAGAACAAACTATTAAGATTGTTTATTAGTGGAGATATTCTAATCTACACAATTTTGCAAGTTAACCCATACAAAATAAAAGATGACTGACGATTTATATCCACTGATTTTAATTATCTCAACATATTTTGCATACTATTTCATGTGTCTAGGAATTTAGACTGTTTTTAGACTCGGCTTCGCCTCGGGCATATGGCGCGCAGTGCGGGAATCTCAAACTTTCTGCCCTTGTAGTGTAATATACTATATTGGCAAACGTAGAATTCGACGAATTCATAAAGTTTAGGAACAAAGAAAACTGGTTCTAATAGCATCGCTTACATTTTTATCAACAACGTATAAAAATTGCTATCTATTAATAAGAAGGAAAAAAAAAATTTTTCAATTAGTGAAGCAATTTTTACATATTTAAAATTATTATTATTAGTACAATATCAACTAGAAAAAAAATTTTTAATTTATCAAGCGAAAATTACTTAACTAAAAAAATCTTTAAATGATACTTAATAACTTTTTCCACTGCTCTACAAATGAAAAGTTTAGACTACTGTTCGCCACCTAGTGGCCGTCGTGGAACTATTGATGGACGTGTATTACCATATAATAATAGTGAGTTTCTTTTTTCATTAATAATTAAATCTTCAGAATATTTTGTAATGAAAAATATCAATTTGGATAATTCTTTTAGTTTGAATTCGGTACATATTAAATGAA